ATATCTCCACAGCTGAGATATCCCTCCTGATTTTTTAAATATTTTATTTATTTATTTTTAGAGAGAGGGGAAGGGAAGGAGAAAGAGTGGGAGAGAAACATCAATGTGTTTGCCTCTTATGTGTCCCCTACTGGGGACCAGGCCTGCAACCCAGGCATGTGCCCTGACTGGGAATCGAACCGGCGACCCTTTGCTTCACAGGCCAGTGCTCAATCCACTGAGCTATGCCAGCCAGGGCTCCCTCCTGATTTTTTAAATACCACATGTGGGTATGGGAGCAGCCCATTTCCTATACCCAGAGAAGTGTCTCTGCCCTTCCTGCCAGTCTTGATATGGCTTTTTCTATATATTTTTAGTTTTAGGACTTCTGTTCAGCTAGATTTTAGGCAGTTCTCAATGATGGTGGTTCTGTATTTTAGTTGCGATTTTGATGTGGGTGTGGGAGAATGTGAGTACCACATTTACCTGTGTGGTACCAGAAGTCAGCTAAGGCTCCCCCCATTAAATTCTTATTAATCTGTTTAAAATAGATGACCACATATATGTGGAACTGTGTTCATGGTTCTCATTCTGTTTGTCTGTTTGCCTAACCTTGTACCAGTATCACAGTGTTCTAATCAATGTACCTTTATAATACATCTTAAAGTCCTGTATCATTTGATTGTTGATAAAGTCCTATTGGATCTTCTAAATCCTTTGTATTTCCATTATTTTACAAACTTTACAAAATTATTTTCATTTATTTATATATTTTATACTAAGCTTGTCAGTTTCCAAAAACAAAACGCTGCTGGGATTTTAATTAGGCTTACATTGGCTCTGTAAGTCTGTTTGGGAAAACTGACATCTTAATATTGAGTCCTCCAACCCATGAATATTGTACTACGCTCCATTTATTTAAGTGGTTGCTAATTTCTCTCAGCAATGTTTTGTAGTTTGCAGTGTAAAGGTGTTAAATATCCTTCATTAGATTTATTCCTGGGTGTTTGGGTTTTTTATGCTATTTTAAATGGCATTTAACATTTTTTATATTCTACTTGTTTGTTGCGGTATATAGAAACACTACTGATATTTATATATTGACTTTATAGTCAGCCATCTTGCTAAGTTCTCTTATTATTTATAATATTTTGTAGATTCTTTCAGAATTTCTATGATCACAGTCTTGTCATCTATGAATAGAGATTATTTAACATCTTTCTGTGCAATCATAAATTTATTTCTTTTCCATGCAATCTGTCAGTGGATAGGAAGTCTACTGTAGTTTGAATATAGTAAAAATGGACTTCCTGTTTCATTATAACATCAGTGGAAAATCTTCATTATCAAATACCTTCGTTGAAATGTTCATATATATTTTTCTTTAATATGTTAATGTGAATTATATTCATTGATATTCAAATGTTCTAAAAATAGCCAATATGCATATGAAAGGAAATTCTATATCAATATCAGGAACGTTAAAATCACAACTCAGTACTAAACATCCCTACCAGAATGGTCAAAATTAAAAGGAATACTGCCCTGGCTTGTGTGGCTTAGTAGATTGAGTGCCACCTTGTGAACCAAAGGGGTTCTGGTTCGATTCCCAGTCAGGGCACATGCCTGGTTTGGGCACAGGCCCCTAGTTGGGGGTGTGTGAGAGGCAACCACCATTGATGTTTCTCTCCCTCTCTCCCTCTATTCCCCTCTAAAAAATAAATAAATAAAATCTTATAGAAACTAAAAGGAATTTCAGTATCAAGCATTGGTAAGGATATGGAGCACTATATATTGCTATTGGCATAATTTGGTAAAACTACTCTAGAAAACTTGATATCATCAACTAACACTAGTCATGCATCTACCCTGTTACCCAATAATTCTACTACCGGGTATATACCCAAGTGAAAAGAGTACTTATGTTCCTGTACAAGAATATAGATTGCAGCATTATTAACATACCAAAAACTGGAAATAACCCAAATGTTCTTCTCATAGCACAAAAATACTAAAAAGCAATGATTGAGAATGAACTACCATACCAGTACATAGAAGAAGAGTGGCTGGGTGCCTGATGCACCTGTGTGCTTTATTGTGAACCTTTTGGTAGATGGGTCTCAACGGGGCATGCAAGAGGACACCACCAATACTGTTTATGATGCCCCCAGGGGGCTCTGGGCCCTGTTTCCCTGCCTGGGGGCATTGGCATAGGCAGATATTTTTACTGGTGGGGAAAGAATGCCCCTTTGTTTTCAGGAATTCACTTGCAAATGAGGAGCTTGCTCAAGTCTCTGGGCAGTCTGTGAACTTCCAGTCAAGATGGTAACATAAATAAATGCAATACCTGCCTCCTCCCACAACCACATGAAAATTACAACTAAACTACAAAACAACCATCATTCACAAGTGCCTGAATCTGGTTGAATGGAAGTCCTACAACTAAGGAATTAAAGATGAATCCACATTAAGACTGGTTAGGAAGGGTGGAGATGTGGAACAGGCTGGTCTCACACCCCAACCCCATGTGGTAAATGAGAATTTACAGGAATATCTTGGTTGCAGAGGTTTTCTCTAAGGAGCAAGGGGTACCAACCCAATACCAGGGTCCCCAGCCCAGGGTTCCACTTCCAAGAGAAGAGGTCACCATAACTTCTGACTATAAAATTCAGCAGGGATCAAGGCTCAGAGAGATAGAGGGCACTAAGTGCCCCAGGAAATTCCTCTAAGGGTCCACACACAGACTTACTAGGACTCACTCCCTTGATAACTTTCAAGCTGGGAAAGCAGCTTGAAAGGTATCAGAGACAGAGGAGGGAATGAATTGTCTGGCATCAGAGAGGTAGGGGAAAGCATCTTTCTCCCAGACAGATGTGCTGGCCGTTGTTCTGTTGATGAGTCCTTCCCCCACAGATCTGGCAGGAGGTGCCATATCTGAGACTCCATTTACCTGGCTTACACTGTTTGCCATCCCTGGAGATTACCAGAGGACGTGCCCCACCCAACTTTCAGGTCCACCCGAGTGGTTTCCAGTGGATTTTCCATAAAATTGGCCTTTCTTGGCTCATGCCTCAAACTTTCATAAAATCTCTCAAACAAGCAGCATCTGGTTTCACTGAGCCACATACCTCTTGTTTAAGGACTCCAGGCTCAGCAGCAGAAGCAGCTGGCCTAGGTTTACAGTTTGCCCTCACCTGGGTACCTCCAAGTGGAGTGCAAATAGGCGCCATCTACAGATCACTTTATTCCCAACTGACCTGCCTTCCCACTACCAATTCCTCCCATCTCTCTCCCCAACCCACTTAGTTCATGTCCACGGATCATACATATAAGTTCTTTGGCTTCTCTATTTCCTATATTATTCTTAACCTCCGTCTACTTTGTACCTACCATTTATGCTTCGTATTCCCTGTATCTTTTCCCCTATTCTCTCCCCTCCCCCTCCCTGCTGATAATCCTCTGTGTGACCTCTATTTCTGTGATTCTGTTCCTGTTCCAGTTGTTTGCTTTGTTTGTTTTTTTGTTTTAGGTTCATTTGTTGATAGTTGTTTGTTGTCACTTTACTGTTCAGTTTTGATCTTCTTTTTCTTAGATAAGTGCCTTTAACATTTCATATAATAAGGGCTTGGTAATGCTGAACTCCTTTAACTTGACCTTATCTTGGAAGCACTGTATCTGCTCTTCCATTCTAAATGAAAGCTTTGCTGGATAGAGTAATCTTGGATGTAGGTCCTTGCCTTTCATGACTTGAATACTTCTTTCCATCCCCTTCTTGCCTGTAAGGTTTCTTTTGAGAAATCAGCATATAGTCTTATGGGCAGTTCTTTGTAGGTAACTCTCTCCTTTTGTCTTGCTACTTTTAAGATTCTCTCCTTATCTTTAATCTTGAGTAATTTAATTATAATGTGCCTAGGTGTGTTTCTTTTTTGGTCCAACCTCTTTGAGACTCTCTGAGCTTCCTGGACTGCCTGAGAGTCTATTTCCTTGGACAGATTGGATAAATGCTCCTTAATTATGTTTTCAAGTAAGTTTGCAATTTCTTGCTCTTCGTCTTCTCCTGGCACCCCTATTATTCAGATGTTGGAATGTTTAAAGTTGTCCCGGGGGTTCCTAAGCCTTTCCTCATTTTCTTTCAATTTTCTTGTTTTTCATGCTGTTGTGATTGAATGTTTATTTCTTCCTTCTGCTCCAAACTATTGATCTGAGTTCCGATTTCCTTCCCTTCACTGTTGGTTCCCAGTACATTTTTCATTTCACTTTGTATAACCTTCACTTTTTTTCCTTCATTTTGTGACCATACTCAACTATTTCTGAGTATCCTGATTACCAGTGTTTTGAACTCTGCATCTGATAGGTTGACTATCTCTTCATGGCTTAGTTCTTTTTCTGGAGTTTTGATCTGTTCTCTCATTAGGGCCATGATATTTTGTTTCCGTGCAGATGTTACAATGTAAGGGGGAGCGCCTTAGGTATTTGCCAGGGCAGGGCAACCTACATTGTTGCATATGTGGTATTGTATGTGGGGGAGGGATCAGAAAGGGAACAATGGTGCTTGGTTGGCTCTCAGCTGGCTTTCTGTCACTTCTACTACTACTCACAAGAAAACTGGGCCTTTTGGGTGCTGCTTCCCAGGTGGGTGGGTTTGTGTACATTCTAGGACCCTGTGGATCTAATACCCATGAGGCTGGGCATTTCTCCCACCACAATCCCCACAGATCTTTATAGCCGGAGGTTTTGAGGGGTTTTTTTTTCCTGTGCTGGAACCCTGGGTTGTACAGTGTGTCCCACTCCTGTTGTTCCTCCTGGCTTATCAGCATGCCAGTGTGGCACCACCAGCCACAGCCTCGCCTATCTGGTCCTCCAGTCCCCGCTTTGCTGGGTGTCCTCTACAACCTGGTTGCTTGTCTCTACCCCTCCTACCAGTCTGGATGAATGTTTCTTCTTTAACTCCTTGATTGTTGGACTTCCATACAGTTTGATTTTCTGGCAGTTCTGGTTATTTTTTGTTTTTAAATTTGTAGTTGTCCTTCTGGTTGTGCAAGGAGGCAAAGTGTATCTACCTACACTTCCATCTTGGCCAGAAGTCCAAAGACAAAATCTTAAAAGCAGCAAGAGAAAAGCAGTTAGTTACCTACAAAGAAGCACCCATAATACTGTCAGCTGATTTCTCAACAGAAACTTGTAGATCAGAAGGGACTGGCAAGAAATATTCAAAGTGATGAAAAGAAAAAACCTATAATCAAGATTATTCTACCCAGCAAAGTGTTATGTAGAATCAAAAAACAGATAAAGAGCTTCCCAGACATGAAAAAGCTAAAGGAGTTCATCACCACTAAGCCATTATATTAAATGTTAAAGAATCTTCTTTAAGAAATAAAAAAAGATAAATATATATTTATATATACACAAAAATGGTAATAAGTACATACCTATCATCAAATGAATCTAAAAAATCAAACAAACGAACATGCAGAATGGGAATAAACTCAGATACACAGAACATTTTGAAACTTGCCAGATGGGAGGGGTGTTGGAGGGATGCATAAAAAAGGTGAAGGGATTATGAGTACAAATTGCTTGTTACAGAATAGTCATGTGGATGTAAAGTATAGCCTAGGGAATATAGTTAATAATATTGTAATAACTAAATGAAGTGTCAGATGGGTACTAGATATATTAGGATGATCAACAGTAAGTTATATAATGTCCACTCACCGGGTGTACACTTGAAACTAATACAATAATACATGTCAACTGTATTTTAAAAAATGATTTAATAATTAAAAGAATAATGAATACCAGTATATATAAGGATGATGAGTTAAAGAAACCAGACAGAATACAGACTGATTCCATTTATATATATTTTTAAAAAAACCTACTCTGAGGGGCATCAGAGATTTATCTGCCATCAGTGATTTATTTGGGAAAGGCCATGAAGGAAGCTTTGTGGATACAGGAATGTTACATAGCTTGACCTGCGTGGTAATTGTGCCAGTGTGTTCAGATGTAAAATTTTATCAAGTCACACCTAAGAATTGTACACTTTATGCTTCAGTAAAATAAGGGAGGATATTTAAAATAAAAAAATATCAACAACTTAAAAATTTTTTAAATCATGACCTTTACAAAGCAAAAGAATTTTAAATACTGAAAAATAAATCTGACATAGTATTGCAAAATGTATACATTGAGGATTATAAACCATTACTGAAATTAAAGAACACTTAAACAAATGGAGAGGCACTCTATACTCATGAGTCCAAAGACCAACTCATGTTGACTCTTCCTAAATTTGTCTGTAGATTCAACATAATCCCAAGCAAAATTGAAAGTTTTTCCCCATTTAGAAATTAAAAAAACCTGATCCTGAAATTCAAATGAAATGCCCAAAACAGAACAGCCCAATAAAATTGCAAATGTAACAAAGTTTGATAATTAACACTACCTGATTTTAACACATCATTCTGTATTGGCACAAAAGATAGTAAATCAATAGAACAAAATGGAGTCCATAAATATACCCATACAAATATGGACAACTGATTTTCAACAAAGGTCCAAAGGTAATTCAAGGTAGAAAGGATGGTCTTTTTAGATTTTTCCATTAAAAAATAGTTTTTCAACAAATTAGATATACAAAAGCAAGACAGTGAACTTCAATACATACCTTGCACCATCTACAAAAATTAAAATGGATCTTGGACCTAAAGGTAAAACTCAGAACTATAAAACTTCAAGAAGAAAGAAAATTATTGTGACCTCAGATTAAGCAGAGATTTCTTAGACATGACACCAAAAGCCATGTGTTCTTGATCCATAAAAGAAATTGATAAATTAGATTTTACCAAAATTAAAAAGTGTCTGCACTTTGAAAATATTCACAAATTCTATGTCTGATGAAGAGCTTGTGTAACAGAGTAAAATGCTTGGTCTTTCTGACTCCATCTTGTTTAAGTCTGAGTTGTTCCCATGACCTTCAGGCTAATAGCTCCTGGTTTTGACACGCTAATCAGTAGAGGAATTCTGCTCAGGTCTTGAGTTTTTACAAAAACAGCCCTCCTATTTTCCCTCATAAAAGAAGCCTAAAGTCTGCTTTCTTAATATGGATTTGGGGATTAGGTCTCCTGTCTTCTTGGTTGGCACCCTCTTGATCAAAAAACTTGTCCTTACTCCAAACTGATACTTTGAGTTTCGACCTTTTCAATTTTCTGGCACATGACTTAGGACCAGTAATGCTTGTATCCAGGATATATAGATTTCTCAAAACTGACAAGAAAACAACAGAATTTAAATAGGCAAAAATTTTTAAAACAATCTCTCCATCTAAGAAGATTCATGCATGGATCACAAAAAAAAGGTGTTCAAAATCCTTAGTCATTAGTAAAATGCAAATTAAAAACACAATGTAATATCAGTGCAAATTCATTAAAATGGCTAAGATATAAAAGACTGACAGTGTTGAAGAGGATATGGAGCAACTGTAAGAGTCATACACTGCTGGTGGGAATGTAAAATGGTACAATATCATATCACACATACAGATGACTCCTAGGTATTTGCCCAAGAGATATGAAAATACATACCCATACAATGAATTGTACAGAAATATTTATAGCACATTTAATGGTAATAGCTGAAAACTAGAAACAACCCAAATGTCCATCAACAGGTGCATAGGGAAACATACTGTAATATACCCTTGGAATGTGACACAGCAACAAAAGGAATGATACACACTACATGGATGAGTATCAAAATAATTATGATAAGTAAAATAAGCCAGACAAGTATAGTACATAATATTTGATTCCATTTACATAAAATTCTAGAAAATGCAAAGTAATATATAGTGACAGAAAGCATATCAGTGGTGGTTTGAGGGGCAAAATGGGCCAAAAGCAGGGAGGAACATCGAGAAAGCAGTGGTTATAAAGAGGCACATGGAAACCTTTAGGGTAAAGTTAACCCAAACATATGGATAAGTTCACTGCTCGATTATGGTGATGAGTTCATGAGTTTATACCCTTCAAATATGTACAGTTTATTATATATCAATTACAGCTTTAGGAAGACATTTTAAAAATAAGTTCAGAGCTGCATTAAAAAATTGATAATCAGGCCTGGCCAGTTAGCTCAGTTGGTCAGAACATCATCCCAATACACTAAGGTTTCGGGTTTGATCCCTGATCAGGGGACATGCAAGAATCAACCAATGAATGCAGAAGTAAGTGGAACTACAAATTGATGTTTCTCTCTCTCTCAAAAAGTCAATAAATAAAAACATTTCAAAAAAGAATTGATAATCATCAGATAGTAGTTAGCAACATGAGAAATAGGCATGAAAACAGGAGAATATGTAGTGTAGTCACATATTTAATAACTATTGAGTATCTACTATCTATAGATATTATGCTTGGGATTGAGGGTAGTAAAATGACTACAATATTTCCTCTTCATAATCTAGTGTTGGTGTGACACATATCAGCAGATAATTAGTGTCATATGTGCCCAAACAGGAGAAATTAAAGGGCTCCATCACAGCAGTGGCAAGGTTTTAAGGGCTCAGAGAAAGCTCTCAGGGGAAATAATGTCTAAGCTGAGGCCTAAAGAACAGGGAGGAGTTAGCCAAATAGAATAAGATAACCTGTGCCAAGCAGAGTGATGGCAAACTCAGAGGTCTGGAAAGAAGGAACACAAAGAGTTGAGAATTATAGCTTCAGGGCTATTTTCTTTCTTAAGATTATATTTATTTATCTTTAGAGGGGAAGGGGGGAAGGAGAGAGGGAGAGAAACATCAATGTATGGTTGCCTTTTGTGCGTCCCCTGCTGGGAACTGGCCTGCAGGGAACCGGCCTGCAACCCAGGCATGTGCCCTGACTGGGAATCGAACCGCGATCGTGTGGTTTGCGGGCCCGCGCGCAATCCACTGAGCTACACCAGCCAGGGCACTTCAGGGCTATTTTCATAAGCTGCTTCAAACCCTCTATCTAATTTGGTATTCTAATTTTGTGTTTTTCTGAAATAAGGCCCCCTTATCCACTCAATCACCAAATTGTATAAATGCGGGCCCCACAAAATCTGGATTTGCCCTTACGTAGGAGATTGGTCCTTTTGGGGGGCAGCACAGATTCTAAGCTCCCTTCTATGTTTGGGGGAATTCCCTACATCTTAGCTCCGTTGTGGCAACTCCCTGTATGGGAGCTGAAATGCCAAACAGTTGAGAAGCTGAATTTGCTTTCTCAACTTTCCTTGGAGTTAAAGACCTGGACACTTGACCTAGGCTCTGCCAGTCACATAAGTTAGTAGCTAGTTGATACATGCATACAAAAAGAACCTTGGTTAATACTCTGTAGGTGAAGTTATATCAAAATAAAATTTCTATAGCATTAGAGACAGTGGTACAAAACTCAGTGTTTAATGCTTGGGAACAGTGGCTACAATTTCCTCATCTGACCAGTTGTGCACGTAGTTTTGCAATTTGTTCCTAGCTATGTGACTTAGATTGGCCTTGATTCTCTAGTCCTTGTCTATTCTGTGAGCTGCACAATATTCTTCTAATAAAATCTTTTATGCTGAAAACCAGCATCCATCACTGTTGCTAACAACTAAGAACCCAACCGACAATTTGGTATTTGGAACTGGAATACTACAAAATAGACCCTAGAATGTATAACAAGCCAGATAGAAGAGGCAGAATGGAGGGCACTGAGGACACAGTGCTGGAAAAGTAGGGACTCAGTCAGGACATGAAACTTAAACCATCAAGAAGTATATTCTAACCCTGGTTGGTGTGGCTCAGTTAGAGTGTCATCCCATAACCAAGTGGTTGATGGTTCCATTTCCATTCAGGGCACATACCCAGGTTGCAGGTTCATTCCCTAGTTGGGGCATGTATGAGAAAGCAACCAATTGATGTTTCTCTCACCAGACCTCACACTGGATGTGGCTGTGAAGACAAGAACTAGGGAGGCACAGCTGATTTGATAAAAGAGGATTGCATATCACCTTGATGAGCCTAGTCTTGAATGATACTTGACTGATCACCCTTTGGGAAAGAATGTGTTTCTTGTAGGTATGAACATTTTTGAAGGTGTACGTATAAGAAGAAATATGTGTACAGGTGACAGTGGGCTGTACCATTCCACCCTTATTCCTAGTTATGGGGCCCCAATTTTATTTAGCTGTCTATCTTCCTAATACATGACTAAATCCATAATCCTGCTTCTTTGGCCAGTAATTGGTTTAAGGGGTATATGACCAATCTAGCCAGTAAGATGTGAAGAGATGACTGTTCAGGATGTTCTGGGAAAAGTCTTCTTACTGATAAACGGAAACACATACGGAATTACGGCAGCTATCTTGCAACCATGGAAAGAGTCATCATGGCAACTAAAGCAAAATCTTGATGGTAAAGCAGAAAAATGGAAGAAATCTCATTGTTTAGTATTGCTACTGAGCTCCTGAATTAACCAACCTGGAAAACTCCTAGTTCCAGATTTCTTGTTTTGTATTATTTAGTAATTTTGAATTATTTTTTTCTTGCAATTTAAAGAATCCCAATCCTGACAGTGTGATTTGGAGAGTAAAATTTGAAGATAAGGCTGGCAGGAGAAGAAGAGGTTGACACCATGCAGGGCCTCAACACTATCTGAGGACAGTAAGGAACCACTGAAGGGCTTGACATAATTAAACTGGCACTACAGTAGCATTAAGGAGAACAGACTGGAAGTGGACAAAGTGAAGCAAAGGGAATGAAAAGCACAGTGACCACAGATAAAACCTGAGGGAACTCCAACCTTTGAAAAAGTCTCTGGAGAAACTCAAGAGGAACACTAAAAAGTTATTATAAAGGCAGGAGGAGGACATGGATTATTTGGACACTAAAGTGAAGGCAATAGAGAGTTTAAAGGAAGAGTGAGTTATAAAAGGTTATCAAATGCTAGAGAGGTCAAGGAAGACAAGGATGGAGATCTGCCATATAAAAATTGATCACTATTTAGTGACCTTTGCAACAGTAATTTCAGGGTAATAATGAGGGCAAATGCAATACTAAAGAGGACTAAAGAATGAATAGAAAGTAAAAAAAACAGGTTAAGGACAGTGACAGTCATATCACAGGTGCTTCTCTTAATACATGTTGATTAATGATTTAATGTACAAAGGCCAAGTACTGAGTGAGAGCTATGCTCCTATTCAGTTTTTAGTATGATGAGATTACGTTAG